CCTCTTTATCTTGCTTGGACCGAGTGGCCTCCTTCTCTGACCGATAAGGAAGAACATCTAACTGCCATAGCTTTTCCACATTATGCCTTAACACTTGAGATGGAGTTGGGAGCAGCGACGTGTGCAGGCATGAGACCTCAGCTGTTTGGTGAAAAAAGGTGGCAGGACCCTGTATAGCCCAGCCAAGTTTTGTGTTCACAGCGATAGGACTGCCCAGAGGACCAGCTTTAACAGGTGACAGTGGAGTAATAAGATGTGCATTATCTGAGCCTATAAGGAGCATGGGTTGCACATCTGTGAATGCTTTGAAGGGGACATCACCCAGGTGTGGATATTTCTGGCGCAGAGTGTCCATAGGGCAGGATTGTTTGGCCAGATTCAGCTCTTTGGCAGTAAAGGCTTTGCTGATGTGATGTTTAATTTGGGGGCATCTGGGCACACTTATGTCAAAGGTTATAGACGCTCCCTGTAACTCGGAGACTTCTTGTCTAATAGTCCTTAGTTTGAGGGATTCTACAGTCTTGTTTAACTGCAGGTAATGAACTGCTGCAGACAGAACAATAGTTCTTTCTGATCCATCGTCTAGAATGGCATGTGTAGAAAGAGATTTGCCCTCACTGTGGAGTGTAACTGGGACTACTTTGAGCATGACTCTGCCTGAGTGTGTAGCCTGATCTAGATACACCATGCTGGATGCTGTACTCACAGTCAGAACACTCCTGTTGGTGCTGGAGGAGGCCTCATGGAGGATTTGAAAGTGTTGCTCTCCACAGGTAATACAGGGCTTTTTTAGAGTGCAGCTGTCAGGCTGGTGTCCCCTACCACATCTCCAGCATCTTTTATTGTCGTTTATCCAGCTAACGATCTGAGGGGTAGTCAGCTTGGTGAAGTCAGGGCAGAAGCTCAAATAATGTTCTGTACTGCTGCAGAAGGGACAAAACGGCTTAAATTTCTCCCTTTTCTTGGCTTTAAGAACATCTTTTTTCTCTGTAGAAACAGAGGTGTTAATGACAGCAGGTGCAGGAGCTTTGTCATTGCCATAGTAGATGGATGAGGAGGGAGACCTTTGCTGCTTAGATTGTTTCTCTCTACGGTCTAAGCGAGGTTTATCTGCCACATAGCTATCAGTAGCTCGTCTTGAGATCTGAATGGCTTGTGATTTCCTCTCTAACCATCTGGCAAAATCAGGGATAGTGTACGTGTCAGCTGAGTCACTCTGCAGGATGCCCCTTGCTAGGCAATATTCAGCAAAACTGTCCTGATATGAAGCAGGGAGTTTACTCAGCAACCTGTCCACATGAGAGCCACACGCCATTTCACTCTTTGCAGCTCCCTCAAGGGAGTTTAACAGTCCCACCAAGCTACTGACTGATAGAGCAAAGTCCTCGAATCCTTGTGCATCTCCTGCTCTCACTGTAGGTGCTCTCAGAATACTGTTAATCTCACTTTGGACTAGTTGCCGTGGTTGGCCATAGCGTTGCTGTAGAGCCTGCATTGCTTTGGTGTATGGCATGGAGTCATGGACATACCTCTTTGCAATTTGAAATGCAGCTGGGAATTTAAGATGATCCAACAGTACTTGGAATTTATAGTCCTCAGAAAGATGTGGATGTGGGCCCAGTACTCCATCCAGTCCCTTCTTCAATAACAGAAAGTCGCTTTCCTTCCCTGTGGTGAAAGTGACTAATTTAGGCTTAGGAATACCATAGGAGGAGGATATAGCCATTTCCATCAGGTTAGGTCTTTGATCTGCTGGCAGGAAGGAAGATGTGCCTTGGGGAACAGCAGGCTGTAAGCTGACAGGAGGCTGCAGTGAGGGAGCAGGATTCTGGTACATGTACTGTGAGCTCACAGTAGGAGGAGGCACTTGTGGTGAGTGGGGCTGATTCACAGCAGGGCCTGATGTCCAGGGTAATGAGCCTGGAGCTGGCATGGGATAAGGGAAAGATACTGCAGGCTGGCTCTGCAGTGGTCTCGAGTAACTGTACTGTCCAGCACTGGGTTGTGTAGACCAGGTAGGATAGGAGGGGGGCCAGTTTAAGTCTCTTTGCGGCTGCTGCTGCCAGGGCGGATGTTGCTGGTCTGCGGCTGGCACTGCAGGCCAGGTTACCACTGATGCTGGTCTAGCTGTCGACTGCATGGAAGAGAGAACATAAACAGGCTGTTGAGCTGCAGCTCCCGCTCCACTGAAAGCAGGTGCTGTGTGATCGGAGGAGTGGGAGGCATAGCAACAGGCAGAACTGTGGGAGGACAGGCTCGCTGTACAGTTGTCTGCTCAGGACCAGGCGATAACGAAGAAAGAGGAGCAATGTTCTCCAGACTGCCCATCACAGATTCTTTGATAGAAAGGGCATCATCAGCAGTTAGTAGAGGCATACTGGAGCTCCGTGCTGGTGGGAGCAGCGGCACTTGTGATCCTACTCTGCCAAGATTTAGAGATGCTCGCAATGTACTCTGTAACTCCCTCACTTGGTCTTGCACTTGTGATACACACCGTTCCATCCTTCTCAATCTCTCCATCTCTGGTGTCCTCTCAACTCCGACTTCTGGATGTATTGGAGTGGACGTTAAATATGCTGGTACCATATTACTGCTCGAAATGTTCATATCAGCCTCTGAAACTAATGGATCAGGCTGATGGCCAGGATAAGTCAGAACAAAGTCCTCCAGATGTCCCGGAAGCCGATGGAGCCTCCTTGGACGGACAACTTGCTCGTCTTCTTCATGCTGCCTTGATGTCTCCATTAGGAAAAGCTGTCAACCCTCTTATCCGGCTCGAAGGACCACTTGTTGATAACATGTACGTGTGCAAAGTACTGGGACGGGGGGTTACAACTGGATTTTCCTATCCTCGGTCAGAAGGCACAGGAGACTTGATAGGTGACAATGAACTTTAATCCCATTTGAACAGTAACAGTAGCAGCAGGTGCATACATGTGTTGGTTTGTGTGTGTGTGTGTGGTTTTCTGTAACAAAAACAGCAAAAAGGAAACAATTAAAATCAAATATTATACAGATAAATACACAGGTAAATAATGTAACAGTAACAAGGCTTAAAAGTGACTGAACAGCGCCCTCCTTTGGTTGGGAAAATGTACTGCAAGGTTCAGTCTACAGTTTGGTGACGTCATGAATATTAATTAGCGGAAACGGATAAATTATATAACTGTGACGTTTGGACAAAGCAAAACTTAACACTAATTAGGAGATATTCAACATTCAACGTAGAAGTAAGACATGAAAGGTGAAAACGTTAATAATAGCTCGTACGCTAGCATAAAGATAAACACCAGGTATAAATTACTAACAGGATTATATTATGAAACAGAACTCAAAATATTGGCTACATTCAGGTGCCTAAACAAATAAACATAATAAGTATATACATACAAACAGAAATACACTGCATCACTTACTTATTATTAACGCACACGATACATGTCCAACACATTGCACTCGAAAACAGCCGCTTAACATAATACTGGGCAGGACCAGACCGAACATGCCCCGCAAAGTGGACCGAACCATTATAGTGGCCACTAGGGGGAACATGGGGCAGTCCCAATGGCAACTACCACAGGGGGTTTTATACAAATTTACAAATTAATTTCACTGAGAGTAAAATTACTCTCAATCCCATTAAACAAAAGGGAGCAAGATCACTCTCTCCCAACGCCATGACTATCAACACAAACCTTCAACT